GGGGGGGGGGGGGGGGGGGGGGGGGGGTAGGGGTGTTGGCATTAGGGGTTGAAACATTTCTTCCCCACACATTCATGAATGATGCATCATTCACGCAAAAACACAGAAGTTAACCTCTGTTTCATTTCAACCTGTGACCCACTGCTCGCCAACATAGTTTGTGGTCACACCTGGACTTTTCTGAGACACCCACACTCCCACAGGTCTCTGTTCCTGATCCTACACACCCACAAGTCTCTTTCCATGCACGTATCTGCTCAATTTCTGTTTGTGTTCTTCACTGTTTTGTGTTCCTAGCATTCACAACCTCCCTGTTATTTTTTATTTTTTTAAAATTCCACCATCTTCCTTTTTTGTGGTAATTGTGTGTTTTAGACAAACTTTTGATTATTAATTATGGATATATATTTAATTTTGGATAATTCTTTGCTTTTGAGTTTATATTTGTATTTATACGCATGTAGTAAAAATTAGTTATCTTGCATCTATGATGCATGGGTACTATTACACTTTTCTGAATCAGGAATACAAAAGAAGATATATACAAATCCTATTAGCCAAAAAAACAAGAGTAATTACCTGGATGGGAGAGAGCTATTTCGATTAATGAACTGCAGGATGAAAACATTGGAAAGAGATCCAAGCACATCAATTAAGGGGTGAAAAAGTAAGATAATTGAAGATTCTTTGTTTATCTCAACAGAAATTGAACAGGGCAAAGCATAGTATGAGAGCATTATGTACCTCTAGTACACATAGTTGAGCCACATTATCCCTAAGTCCTAGCTTATTAAACTCGATGCATTCTTCATATAACAAATTGAACCTAGGATAAATCATGGTAATGATATTATTGTGTTAGAATAAAGAAAATTTCAAAGTACCGCAGAAGCATCAGGAAGACAGGTAAGGTCCCCCACCCCGAGAAAAATATACAGGAAAAGTAATATACAACATATACAAATAATTGTAAAATGACAGAGGAATCAACAAGATCATATAAAAAAATACATAAAAAGATAAGACCCACAAAGAATAACACATTTGCTCAAGTTATACCACAGGAGTAACAGTTGCAATTTGTCAATATATTACTGAATGAATTATGTCTTTAAATGACAAGACTCTGACTTATATATCATGTTTCCACACGTCATTTCATTGTAAATACTACACTTCGGTAGTATCATTCTAAGTTATAAATTGTATAAGCCAAATAAACAAGGTTTAAAAAGCATACACTAAAACAACTGCAAAAGATAACTTTTTTTAAGCTTTTTAAAAAAGAACAGTTTTTATGATAAAAATTAGCAATTTTCTATTTTTTTAATGTGTTTGTCTAAACTGCTTTAAAAAAATAGTTTTCTTTTTTTAAAAGAAGTAACTGCTATCTGCTTTTTAAAAAACTGTTTTTTTATTTAAAAAAAAAAAAAAAAAAAAAAAAAAAAGCGGTTTTTTTTTTAAAAAACTTTTTTTTTTTTAAAAAACTTTTTTTTTTTTAAAAAACTTTTTTTTTTTTAAAAAACTTTTTTTTTTTTAAAAAACTTTTTTTTTTTTAAAAAACTTTTTTTTTTTTAAAAAACTTTTTTTTTTTTAAAAAACTTTTTTTTTTTTAAAAAAAAAAAATTTTTTAAAAAAAAAAAAAAAAAAAAAAAAAAAAAAAACTTTTTTTTAATTTTAAACAAACTGGCCTAATTTTGAATGGCAAAAAAAAGCTGAACAAAACTACATGTGCATGAATACAGTGAATGTTAATCACAAGTGAAGCAAACAGATTTCACTATGATAATTAGCAAGTAACATCCAGAGAAAAGTAGAACTGTAGAGAACCTTGAATTTTGCCAAAAGATTGCACAACCATCAACTGGATTACCTGTACGCATCTGTAAGTTGATATAATGATATTAGACTTATAAAGCAACAGAATTATTTATTTTTCATTCAAATTTAGTTGAAATAATCAATCAAAATGAGGAAAACTATATGAAAAGAAAAAGGAAAAATACTAGTGAAACTGAAAAGTCATGATGCTGAAGATAGGTCACTGCACATAACTAAGTTATAAGTTACAACTTGAAGATTATATTGGAGGGAAGTGAAAAAGGTAGCCAATCAATCAACTATATGATGCAGCACAAATACGCTCATCAAGTAAAAAGAGTACTCGCCCTGTTCAACTAGTTAATGACAGCATTTCTACATGAGATGACACAGACACATAATGCCAGCTGGGAAGCACATATGTATTTCAAATTCTTAATGGTACACAAATCATCTAATATATGATATTCCGATCATTACAACATAAAAACACTATCATTTAAAAAAAAAAAAAAACTTCTATATAAATTCAAACTAGAAACAAAGCCTGAAACAAACCAATGCATATAAAATGCACAAGCAGCATTGAACACAAAAACTTCATATAGATGCTTATGTCATGTATCCTTAAGACAAATAGCACTTCTAACCCACCTTCCAGATGCCGCTGTATCCCTTAGGCTTCAACTCCTCTGCCAATTCATGAAATCTATCAACCTCCTGGAAGTCGTAATATAAAATCAAAAGGGAATTCTTTATAATTCTATGGTCAATCAGATTTTTCAAGTGCAGTACCCACACACCAGAGAAAATTGTTAAAATTCTAAAGACACAAATCCTACTGAGATGTTAATGCAACTGAAAAATCTTGTTTGGAAACCAATCCAAGGTACTTTTCCAAAAATGAGGCAGAATAAAAGATGACATGTAAAAGTTCAATTCTGACAATATCAATTATAAATGAAGAATTTTCATGCAGTATGTCATTATCTAAAATGAGATTGCCAAGTACATTTGTGATTCATATCATGATTATCATCACACAAGCCAAATAAAATTTTGCAAAAGCATGATCACAAGCATGTTAAATGAGCATAGTTGAGCAAGGAGTGAGCATTGGCAACTGTCATCTAATATGTAACATAAACAGTCGATCACAAACCTGTAAACACATGATATCGGCAGACCACAACCCCAGCTCAAAAATTATGCTTCTCTTTCTCCACTGCCAGTCCAATATGTATTTAGGTATGTGAAAATAAAGTTGGTTCCGGTGGTCCAAAGCAAGGTAGTCAGCCAATATATTATAGGAAAGCACTTTAAATCGCTCTGTTGAGCATAAAAAAAATCAGAAGCTAAATTAGTCTGATGACATCATATAATTCTAAAACAATCAATAATGAGCAACAAACAGTGGGAAGAGAAGTATTGATAAATAACCGAACCATAAGATGGAACACTAATAAATAATCAACCTCTAGCTCAAGCCTATCCTCCACTCACTTGCCACATTATCAAAGGTTTACAACATTTTTATGCTTGTAAAACTTCAGGCTCGCTTTAAGCAAAAGATAGAAACTCTGAAACTCACAATTCTTCAAACCAACAACACGCCCTCATATTTGAATCAAACCGCTCATGTTCACACGCAAAGCAAAAATCATTTATCAAACTATCTATCTGAAAAACTGTTCCACATTGGCGCGTTTGATTTCTCGAATAAACAAAAACTAACACTCAACCAAAACCAAAAGCTAGTGATTGCCCCGCCATAACTCATAGAGTCATAGTTCACCACTCAACATTACGTTCTCATAATCAGATTCGTTGAAAACCGCAATGTAGCAACGTCAGGGATCGAAACATTTACGTTCAGCATATGACGAAACCTCACTAGGTCCTAAACCCTAAGATTCTTCGAAACCGAATCCACATTCACGTAGCATAAGAGTGAGGTTACCGGAATTTGGAGGCGGCGGCGGCGTCAGAGCAAGCTCCCAGTCTCGATAATCCGAGGGCCGAAATTGCGACGGCGGACGAAAGTGCGGCCGAAATTGCTGCGGAGGTGGACGGAACTGCTGCGGCCGAAACTGCGGCTGAGGCGGACGGAACTGCGGCGGCGGAGGATGAGGAAACTGAGGCCGGTGATGGTGAGGTGGCGGCGGTGGATGATGCCTCGGATTATACGGCGGATTGTGATGGTGCGGCGTTTGGTTCGGGAAGGTTCCCCTCTCGCCTCGCCGGAGTCCTAAATTGGCGTCGCGGACGGAGCGTAGGTGCTCGTCGCCGGTGACGAAGGGGCCTCTGCCGCCGGAGTAGGGGCGGCCGGAGAATCCTCTGCCGCGTCCTCGGTGCTGCGAATAATAAGAAAGAGCATTTGAGTTGGTGAATGCATGAATGTGTGATTAGTGTGATAAGCACGTGTCGTGTGTGAGCATCGAAGACATATTATATTATATATGAATAGAGAGAGAGAGAGAGAGAGAGTACGGGTGCGTGCGAAGACATTGAGGTGGCGGTCTCGGTGGCGGCGAGGAAATGAATGGGGGGATTTGAGCGTCGCATTATTGTAGGAACAGAAACAGAGAGAGCGGAGAGTGTACAAGCCTAAGCGAGTTCGTGCACGCCGGTTGAATGACGCGTGGGTGTGGACTATTAACGTGATCACACCTAGGAGTGTTGAAAAAATTATATTAAACTAAACTAGTGTAAAATTTAAACTAAACTAAAGAATTTCTTTTTACAAAAATATATATATTGTCACTTATATTATTTAATAGTGTTAATTTAGTCTCATTTTAATTATTTGAATCAATTTACTCTTACATATTTAAAATGCGTTAATGTTTACCTTTCCGTTTACTCCATTTAAAAATTTAACCATTATGTTTACGTGGAAATATGCATTATTTTTTATTAATGATGTGGATTATTAGGATTGATGAGGTGGATTATTAAGCATTTTTTTAGGGCTTTTGTTTACTTTAGTGTATCATCTTAGGGAGTGTATTGGTTTAGGATTTCATAGGATTTTAAAAGACTTTTTTTGAGTAAAAAAGTCCATTGGTTTTTAATCAGGATTTTATGTCACTTAAAAACAATCTAGTGGTATTCAATCTGGATTTTTAATATTTTTTAAACAGTCCATTAAAATCCACTGGTATTCATTTGAGATTTTTTACAACTTAAAAACAATCCATTGATATTCAAAAATATAAGGATTTTAAAGGATTGTTGTGTGAGAGGGATTTTGAAGGACTTTCTAGTGTTATCTATAAATACCAGATTTATAAAACAATCCCATTTAAACCCATCAGATTTTGAAGGATTGTTTGAAGTGATTTTTCAAGTGTTTCAAGAATTTTCAAGTGAATTTTTCATCTTTTTTTTTCTAAGCTCTTGTCTTCTCCATTTTTCTCTACTAATAATACTACACTATTGTTCATTGCTCATATATAATATTGTAGTATTGTTCTCATACCATTCTCCTATTTTGTGAAACTCTGATATGTAAATGATAGTGTCATTGACTTGCTCTATTTTTCTGTTCGTTCTCTTTAATTGACTTGTTTTATTTTATTCTATGTAGTTGAATTTGTTCCTTTATATAACACAAAAAAAATGCTTGAAATTTTAACTTTTAAGTGGTAATTTTTTTTATCACACACGCCAAGAAAAGAAAAAGGTGAAAGATGAAATTGATATCATAATCTCTACAATATATATATATATATATATAAAAGATGAATTTGTTAGGGTTTCTGTGAGTAGAATGAGATGAAAATGGATCTTAGTTGGGGGAAGAACCCTCTCAGCATAAAAACTGCGAACTCTCTCATTCCCTTGAATTTGTTACTCTTATCCCTCCTTTTATGACTCAACAATTATTTTATTTTTTTTACTATGAATTTTTCTTTTTATTTTTATATTGTGAAATTAAGATTTTTTT